TTAATAAATTCTATTTTGATAGAGTTTTGTTTCACAATTCTATTTTTTAGATTTTGATTTCATTTTATTTTTCATAATTCTATCAATAAATTCTTTTTCAAAGTTTTAATCTAAAAATTCAGTTTCATAATTCTACTTCTAAATTCTATTTTTATTGAGGCCGGGTCGTCATCAGTCGGGGGGAAGTCCAGTTCGAAGAAATCACTCAAAGTTTGGTTGACAGCAGGGATTCCTGTTTCTCCCCTTCCTCTTCGCCTACATCTCCGCCCACATCCCTTGTCGTTGACGTTTGTTCGGTGTCCTTGATATCTCCCGTGACCTCTAGGTCCTTGTCCTTGACCTTGACCTGACCTTTGTTTCCCACACGACTGCAACTCTGCGCGGCAACTGGCCGGTTTAGAGACCTCAGCACCCGCGGGTTGTAACATTTGGGGTCGGACACCATTTTGAAGAAAAAACTGCGCATCACCTGTCGTGACAAAAGATCAGAGATCAATGGTGAAAATGTGCCTGTTGGGAAATTGTAGCAACAACACCACAATAACAATTATAATAATAACAGCAAGAGCTACAACAGCAACAATAACAACAACAGCAATAACAACAACAACAGCAGCAGCGGCAACAAGAACAATAACAACAACCTATACCCGGTACCCTTTCCTCTTCGGGTGAAGTGAGGAAGGAATATTCGTGTAAAGCTGCTTTCCCAAAGATACAGGGTTGGGCAACTGACGGATACTCGAACCTACGGCCTTTTAGTTACCAGCCCAAACAGTCTAACCAACTAGAACACCGACTGACTAATACACAATAATATCAACAAAAAAGTAACTACGATAACAACATAGATAGCAACAGCAACTTCAACACATGCCCAAATAACTCAATCTACATGAATACCAATATTATACAACATGCCTTTTCTGACACCAACAAAGCAGATTATGAGGTAAAAATGTACCATCTAAGCGAAGTAAGGACAGGAATCCAGAACTCACCTAAACCCTTCTGCTATTATTATATTGTCAGCTTAGTATTACTAACATCAACAACACTTTGACGCGAGAACTCATACTTCCATAAACTATTTTTGTATAACATGATGGATGGTGAACTACGCTTTCAAAATCGAATGGGTGAAAGAGGAAATGCATCTGCCAAGACGATCCATATCAGAAAGAATTGAGTGAAATAGACACATAGACCTTGGAAACTCTCAAATTCCACATAACGGATTCAAAATCGAGATCATCCATACACAGAATCAGATTAAAGCAACTAGTAAAATGTCCCAATATTGATTTTGAAAAACAATGCATATCCGTTTTGAAAGTGTTGATACTCAAGAGAAAGGGATGCAAGCGATGAGATGATCAAATCTTACATTGTATTGTTAGAGCACCATCTCTTCACCAACGCTAACGCCCCCATGGCTCTTCAGTTGACATATGGCTACACTGGAATGGAAATAAATGACACTATAGACAACCCAGTGGAAGAGGCAGGCCCAGGAAAAGATGGAGAGAGGATTTCAGTCAAAAACAACATAACCAAGCGCATGCTTTAGAGGATACGACAAACAATGGAAAAACGTTTGCTTCTCCCATCGACACCACAAGGCAACAAATGCAGAACAATTAAAAAGAAAGTAAGTATAGACAGCCTACACCTCCACAGAGATGTACTTTAGAATCTAGGAAAAAATGGAGAAAAAAGATCTTAGCCTTGGGAATGGCCCAGGGAAGAGGGAAGCAACAACTAGCTTCAAGACGAACAAGAAGGATGAGGCAGTGAAGATGTGCAGGAGAAGTACAAACTGTTTGATTTCGTGCAAATATTCATCTTCATACCAAATGTTTAATTCGTCTAAACCTGTTACTATTTTAAGAAGAGGATTGGTTCTAGGAACAATTGACACGCCTAATCAAACTCTACAACTGACTTTACTTTGATCTTTTCGAAACTTTGACGTTCGACAATATTGAATGACAGCTACACCATGCTCTAGAGAACAAACGTTTGTGAACATACAGCAAATAAAAAAAAAAACAGAAACAAAAATCAAGAAAGAAAAACAAATCAAACCTGTGCCCGCTGCAAATGGTCTCTCTGGTTGTCGAAAATAATCTCCTCCTCGAAAGCCGCGAACGTGTCTTCGTCAATCCCTGATTCCGTGGGAGGATTTGGAGTTGACATTGGGTTGGAAAGACAGAACAAAAAAAAATCCATGTAATAATATAAGCATAATGTTTTTTAACAATAAAATGCCAAAAGATAATAAAACCAATAACAAAAATAAAAATGATGGTAATGATACTAACAAATTAAAATATTAATGATGATCACATAACCATGATTAAACCGGCCCTCTTCCTGTTTTGATTTACTCATCCCCCAAAGGTTTCACCAGATACGATTGAAGACAATACATGTGAAGAGCACAGGGGGGAAACGACTGTAGTCACAAACTGGAAATTGTGAGGGTGCCACCAATTTTAAAAGCTTGTGAACTCATAACTTCATATTTGTTTGACTGGTGGCTTATTGTTAAGTGCTGTCGAATAGGAAAGCTAACAACAATAATAAACTAACAGTTGAACGGAAATACGGTTATGAATCAACAACAAGCGTTCAAAATTGGTACCCTCGTGATTTTCAGTTTGTGACTACAGTCGTTTTCCCCCCTGTAGTCTTCATGTGTTTAACTGCCCAACCGACTGTGCTGTATCTATTTTTCATTTTTCTGCACCCTTTCAAACGACCGGCTCAGGGTGAGTGGGAAGGGTGGA